AAAAAAAAAAAAAAAAAAAAAAAAAAATAATAATAATAAATAAATAAATAATAATAATAATGAAAAAAAATAAAAATATAAATGAATTAAGATAGGAATTCTGATCCATTATCTACAAACAAACAAGTTGAATAGACTTATTAACATGATCTTCACAATCCAATAATAATCAAAATGAAGCCTCCCTCTGGCATATGTCCAACCACTTGGAAGCTGAAATTACCACAAGGGCAAAAGACACTGACAACATTTCTAAACCTGTCAAAATGTAGGTTTCCTGATTGATCAGTGAGACAAGGGTGTTTATGTACATAAAACTATTTACATGCCCCTTTCTCTACAATTGCCTACAAAATGGAGACAATTAGACTTGATGTGAAATAAGGTATAATGGTTTTTGTAAACATTCCAATCTGCACATCCCACTGGAAATCTTTTAGTGTGCTAACATCTTTTTGGTGGATGAGAGTTAGAGTATCGGTGGCATCACCAAACCGTGCAGTAGAGCAATGAGTAGTAGGAAAATAGGTTGGACAATAATAAATCTGCCACCGTCGGACAGAGAGTGTGCTCCAACGAGATGTACGGACCCAGTAATCTCATCCTTCAATTTGATACTTGACGAGCCTGACACCATCAAAATTCACAAAAGGGATTATTACAGTCACAGAGCGAGTAGTGATCTGGAGTGAGGTTCTCTCAAATTTCAAAAAAAAAAAGAAGAAAAAAAAAAAACGGTCGATTATCAAATATGAAAGCATTTTCCAAATAACTGACCACTGCATAATTTATATGTTTGTCGCATGTATTCCCGTACATGAAAATGGAGGCTTAAAATTTAGTAAGTTACATTCAATAGATGATATCAACCAATAATAGCAGGCAATAAATCTGAGCTGCAAAAGTACAACTCCTGAACCCGAGCTCATTTGACCAGACATCCTTTTTATCCACATCACATATTTTACATCCAAATAAGTAGTGTATGAGTTCTCCTACAAGTAAGCCAAAAATGTGTATAGTTATGCCGGAACTCGTTTCCTAAGTCGTACTAGTTATGCAGAAGCCTGAATGCTGAGATATCCCCAGAAGCTGAATTAACTAATTGCTTCCTTCTTCATCTACTTGGGGAATAAATAATCCTGAAGAATTTCTGATTTGGTTCACTAACACCCACATGCTGAATGTATTTTGGAAATTTAAGCCTAAAACAATAGCTGTTATTAAGCCTCCAACAAGTGTCATGCATGAGGATGACCACGGGTATTTGTCATTCCAGCTTATGTAGTATACAATTATGAATTATGCTTAATCATCCTCATGCAGACATTAGAAACCTCAAGATTTATGCTTCACCACTGTCTGAAAGTCAAAAATATGTAGTTAAGAGAACAAATAGGAAGGTTTAACCATCTGTCAGCCAGAACTCAGCATGAGGATCCCTACCTATATAAATCCAAAATTTCCCGAGCCGAGGTGTCAACTTTTGGTGCTTCATAATACTATGTGTTGAATTCTGGTGTTTTGGAGTAGGCCATGTCAAGCTAGATTTTTCTACATGTCTATTAAGACTTAAGATTATAAAACACATGACTAAGTTAAATTATATATAAATTAATAAGTTAATAACTTTCATAATTGTTATTGATTTGTCATATGTGATATATCATATTAATCATCTCTTCATCTTTTGACACGTTTCAATTTGACATTCATATTGTACACATAAATAAATAATTATTTTTACCTTTATAATAAAAAGTTAAATTATCTATCAATACTAGTTAGAAATAAATAAAATTATTCATCAATTAATAAATTTATCTATCAAGTCTATTATACATGCAAACCTTTCCTAATGCCAAGACCCTTAATCTGGTAGCAAGCTCCTCTGACCACTCAATCATTCTAGTGGATCCTGGAATCCAAAAAGAGAGGAGAGTGGACCAAGCTTGGCTTACTCCAGGAACACCCTTCTTCCAGCTCAAGAAAAAAGTCAAGCTGACCAGAATAGCTCAAAATAGCTCTTTTGAAGTGGAGTTCTCAATTCCATACTCGTAACCAACACCAAATAGCTGCTCTTACCAAAATGCTCTTACCAAAAAGCTGGAAGATCTTAGAGAGGATAAGTCAGCTTCTAAATGGGAAGATTGGAATAATACTGGATAAAGCTCATCACCAAGAAGCTCTTTACTGGCAACAAACTTCCAGATTACACTGGCGCTTAAGCATGGTGACAGCAATTCTAAATTCTTCCATGCTTACACTCTGCACAGAAGAAGGATGAATGCTATTACCCGGCTTGTCAACTCCAGCGGGGAGGAACTCACTAATCAGAGGGACATTCAAAATCACATTTCAGAATTCTATGACTCTCTCTTCTCATCAAAAGGATCTTGGGGTGGGGATTCTCTGCTGCAACTTATCACTCCATCTATTTCTCATGATATGAACCAAGCTCTTCTGCTACCTGTGGAAGAGGAGGAGATTAAATCAGCTCTTTTCAGCCTTCATCCTGATAAATCACCAGGAGGAGAAGATGGTATGAATGCTCTTTTCTACCAGCACTTTTGGATCTTGATTAAATCTGACTTCATTTCTGTTGTCTTGAGTTTCTTCAATTCTGGTCAAATGCTTCAGTACTGGAACCACACAATTCTCTCTTTGATTCCTAAGTGTGCTTCCCTTGATACTATCTATAAGTTCAGACCTATTAGCCTCTATTAGCCTCTGTACTGTGGTTTATAAAGTTATCTCTAAAGTTCTTGCTCAAAGATTGAAAGTCTATTTAGATGGCTGCATTAGTGGATTCAAATCTACATTTATTCAGGGCAGACAACTCTTGGATAATGTCATTATAGCCCAAGAAGCTTTTCACTATCTTAACATGCATTCTTCTGTTAAGAACTACTTTATGGCTTTGAAACTGGACATTATGAAAGCTTTTGACAGATTGGAGTGGGTTAGTATAAAAAGATCATGCTTCAAATGGGATTTCATGTTGATTTTATAAAGCTTCTGATGGCCTGCATCTCAACCACCTCCATATCCTTCAAAATTAATGGTGATATCAGTGGTCTTCTCTCTCCCACCAAAAGAATCAGACAGGGTGATCCCCTCTCACCCTATCTCTTCATAATTGTTTCAGAACTTCTTTCTGCTCTCATTCTTGATGCAACCAACTCTGTACTTCTCAAGGGTTTGAAATTATCTGAGTCTGGGCCTTCTATATCTCATCTGGAACAACAGATGACTCCATCTTTTTTTGTAGAGCAGGTGTGGATCAGGCTGGTGTTCTTTTGGACCTGCTGAATAGGTATAGATTGTTTACTGGTCAGACTGTCAATTTGGTCAAGTGTGCTATTTTTTTCAGCAGGAACACACCATTCACCATTCAGGAAAATATTTGTGCTACCCTGCAAAAAATTCAAACCCACAGATCTACAAGGTACTTGGGGTTGCCCCTTGGCATTGGCAAGTCAAAAAAAAGAGGTCTTTGCTTATCTTGTTGAGTCCACTAAGAGTAAGCTGCAGAACTGGAAATCCAAGTTACTATCTTCAACAGGCAAGGCTGTGCTTCTGAAATCTGTTTTGCAGGCTCTCCCCATCTTCACTCTGTCTTGCTTCAAGCTACCTGTCTCCATATGCTCTTCTCTGGCTAGTTTATGTGCCAATTTTTGTGGAAAGCAAATTCAGAGGAAGCTAAGGGAATTCATTGGAAAAGTTGGGCAAAGATCTGTACTCCTACTCAGGATGGTGGAATGGGTTTCTTGAATTTAAAGTTATTTAGTGAAGCTTTAATGGAGGATCACATCTCAACCAGACTTTCTTGTGAGTAGAGTTCTGAAGGAGAGGTACTATCCAAATTCTTCTATCTTCCATGCCTCTAAATCTCAGAATGGATCTTGGCTTTGGAATTGCTGGTTAGATGTTCTTCCTCTTTTTTCTAGATGGTTAAAGATTGAGATTAGAGATGGTGTTAATACTAGAATTGAGGATTTGAACTGGGTTCCCAACCTTTCTAAGGCAAAACCTGATATGCTTGAGATTGCCAAAGATCATCTCATCTTTGTGAAAGACTTAATGCTCCCTTCTGGTCTTGACTGGAATGATTGGCTTGTTAAACAAGTGTTTGATGCTGAGGACAGTAGTGCTGCTATTTTGAGTATAAAAACTCTGAGGCCAGACAGAACAGATAGAGTTCTTTGGGGTCTAGCCAAAAGGGTCACTTCTCTGTGGCTTCTACATATTCCTTTTTGGTGCAGCAGAAACTCCTTCACCTGGATATTCCAGAATGTAGCATGTAGCAACAGATCTATCTCATGGAGATCTATCTCATGGAAGTCGACTCTGAAAAGAACCTGGACTTTGAAAGTTCAAATGAAACTCAAAACTTTTATGTGGAAATGCCTCACAGGATCCTTGCCAGTCTTGACTAATCTGAAAAAGAGAGGTATGAACATTGATGTCATTTGTAGGTGTTGTGGTGAATGCCCTGAAACTCACACAATCAGTTCTTTTTCCCGAATTTGACTTTTAGCCAGAGCTTGTAGAACATGGGAGTTAGCACCTGTCTCTTTGCAAGACATCTCTCAGTTTTCTAATTCCTTCAGAACTTGGTGGCAATTTGTCTGCTCTACTGCTCACTCCAAGATTGATGAACACAGAATCCAGTTGTCAACATACCTTCTATGGTGGCTTTAGAAGACCAAAAACCAGTGGATTTTTCAAGGCTCTCTTCCTCCACCACAGATTGTGGTTAAAGCAACACATTCTGATTGGTTGGAGTTCTCTTCTATCTCTTCTGGCTGTTAGTATTAGTTGGTCTCTT